TGCTTCTGCACTTTGTTAGTAGTTACTGAAGCCCTGCTAGTTACCACAGTCTTCCATTAAGTGAAGTTGCCGGGCATTCCATGTGTTTTGCACATGCAAGCTGCTAAGCTATATGACTGGTTAAAATTATATCCTAATTTAATAGATCTTGTACTGTTGATTGAGCCAATTTTCTTTGTATCCAATAAGTAATCTCTACATGATGAGGCACTAATCTGATTTGGACAATTATCCCTGTTTAAGTGTTTCAATCTGCTCCAATTTTCATTATGTGTTTGTGTACGTGTGTACATGTGTCTGCCATCCATGTGCTTTGCATTCATGTAAATGTGCACGCGCGCGCGCATGCTAGTTAGATCTCAAGGAAGTTGCCCATGATTTTGTTGCAGATTCAAAATATAAGCTTTGGTGATAAATCATGGCACCCTGCCTCATCTTTGGATTTGAAATCAAGGAATGCTGGGTTGAAAAAACGATTGTTGGTATGCATGTCTGTGCAACAAGCCAGTAGATCTAAGGTTGCAGTTTCACCTTTAGGACTTGAAGATGCCAAGGAACCTCCATTGAATACATACAAGCCCAAGGAACCTTACACAGCAACAATTGTCTCTGTAGAGAGGCTTGTCGGCCCAAACGCTCCTGGAGAGACTTGCCATGTAGTGATTGATCATGGTGGTAATGTTCCCTACTGGGAAGGACAGAGTTATGGCGTAATACCCCCTGTAAGTCATGTTATTTATCAAGCAACTAGGCCTGCTATCATTATGTATATAGTTTGCATTAAATTGGTGACTTCTGCCTGTCTTTTTGGTGGTGGTGATGGTTTTGGGTGGGGATTGGGCATGTTGAAGATTGCATTGAAGTGCTAGAGCATGCACATGCTGTTCTAGTAAGCATTGTGATCCCAGTCATTTTAGTCTGAGCATGCTGTTAGCCTTTAGTTCGAAGATGATATAGTTGAAATCTAGCAGATCCTGATCTACTCAATCCAGTCTAATTGAGGAGTGGGACTCTAGATTTTGCATTAAAGTCAACATTTTGTTCATCTTTTTTATAATACTTTGGTAATAATGCTTCTATTTAACTAATGCAATTTGTCTCTTTGCATCATAGGGTGAAAACCCAAAGAAACCAGGGGCCCCCCACAATGTACGACTATATTCAATAGCATCTACCAGGTATGGAGATTCTTTTGACGGCAAGACTGCTAGTTTATGCATCCGCCGTGCTGTCTATTATGACCCTGAGACTGGAAAGGAGGATCCTTCGAAGAGTGGTGTGTGCAGCAATTTCCTCTGCAACTCAAAGCCTGGAGACAAAGTTCAGATCACTGGTATGGCCTTGCTAATTTGGTGGAAAGACTGAGAAACTTGTTACTTTTTTGCTGTATCATTTATTTATTGTTTATTTCCTTAGTTCTAGCTAACCAAACTGAGAAACTTGTTACTTTTCGCTGTATCATTTATTTATTTGTTTATTTCCTTAGTTCTAGCTAACCAAGGATGCTCTGGTTTCGTGTTTTGATGCTTAATTATTGATATATTGTTATTAGACAACAAACGATTCAAGTTGTTTTTTGACTTGACTAAAGCAAAATCATAATCATTTTAACTGAAATTCCTAAATTATTTTTAGATTTTAAGTTAAAATATTATTTTAAGCAAAAAAGAAAAATAACCTTTTGATTGTTGACTTTTTACTCAAGGTTGATTGATACATGAGCTACTTTTAGATTTAAATCAAAGTCTTGTCTTAAACTATTATTATGACACTGTTATCAAATATACCATTCAATTTAAAAGCATTTGGCTTAAAGTAATTTTTTTTTCATGACTTTGAGCAATCTATAACTCATGCCAAACAATAACTTAGTCTCCAAATTGCTGGTAAAACACATGAAATGTTGTTAGGATTGTCTCGGGTGCTTCTTGGAATGGGCTAGTAGATATAATTTGCATCACATGATGATTTATTAGCCATTAACTGTCCTAGAATATCTCTGGCAGGACCTTCTGGCAAGATAATGCTTTTACCCGAGGATGACCCAAATGCCACCCACATAATGATTGCTACTGGCACTGGCGTAGCTCCATTTAGAGGTTATCTCCGGCGAATGTTTATGGAGGCTGTCCCAACATACAAGTTTGGTGGTCTTGCGTGGCTTTTCCTTGGGGTGGCCAACACTGACAGTCTCCTCTATGACGATGAATTTGCCAAATATCTTCAGGATTACCCAGACCATTTCCGGTATGACAAGGCACTCAGTAGAGAACAAAAGAACAAGAGTGGAGGCAAGATGTACGTGCAGGATAAGATTGAGGAATACAGTGATGAAATCTTCAAACTCTTGGATGATGGAGCGCACATCTATTTCTGTGGACTCAAAGGAATGATGCCTGGGATCCAAGATACGCTGAAGAAAGTAGCGGAACAGAGAGGAGAGAAGTGGGATGAAAAGCTCTCACAGCTTAAAAAGAAAAAACAATGGCATGTTGAAGTGTACTGATATTGCATCTTTACGAGCCCCGAGACAGCAGCAGCAGTGTGGTCCTGTTAGGTAATGTGGCATTTTTCTGTTGTTGGTCAGCATCACATGAACTTGATTAGCTGAAACCATTCATCTGTGCTGTTAAATAATCAAATGGATTAAAACAAATTAGAAACCTTTTGTTTGGTATTGATAAATGATTCTTGTTTCCTCCAATGCAAGTTGTCTTTTGCTGTGTCTAGTATCAACCGTGGAGGTGAAGTCTGTCGCTTGTAGTGGCTGAAAGGGCAGCTTCTGTCATAAACTCATAACGATTATAGAGAGGCACTGGCCTGGTTTGGAATCCAAGGACTCTCTGGTGTTCCGGCCCATATGGGCTCCAAGGCTTCCCTTTTTCAAGCATTTTACTTTTGTTTTACCATTGACCTCCCTTCCTTGCCCAAAAAAATGTGTTTACTCTTTGCCCCCTTCGCTTTGAAGAATACGCTATGAAACCTAAAGTACTAACTTGGGTTATAGAGAAATGCGTTCCTCTTTTTGTATTTTTGGGATAATTAATGGATGAAAGAGCTTCATGTTTACTTGAATTGTAAGATTACGTGGATGTCTGAGAATGTGCTCATGATAGTGATTGTTTTATAAAAAATTAATTTAAAATAATAAAAAATACTGTTAAAATATAGAAACAAAGAAGCTTTTAAGTTTATAAATGTTTGTGTGCATCAAAGCCATCACTCAAATCCATCTAGTACCTAAGCCCAACAAATACTTAGCTTCCCTTTTATCGTTTCTCTGTTTTCTGCTTTTGAAATTATTGGGAGGTAAGGTGGGAGAGAGTGACATTCATGCTTATTGTTTTTGGAAAGGGAAGGAAAAGGGATAATTACGGATGGAAGGTGGAGTAGAGTTCACCCCGTCTGGTTGCTTGATGTAACCCACTCCCTACTTCCACCTCCTACTGTTCAATCCGAGCAAGCGGTAGAATCAGAAGGTAAATCCCTAGTTGGGAGTGCGGGTGGTGGGGACAAAATTCAGTTTTTTTTTTTTTTAAATAAATTAAGATGATAATTTTTTTTATTGCTTAAATACTTTTATATATGATATTTTTTTTATTGCTTAAATACTTTTATATGATTTATGTTATTTTTAATATTTATTGACTTACTATTCTTGATTTAAATAATATGTAGCAAGATCGGTATAATATTCTCTATATAAGATAACTATCATGCCTAAAGATTTTTTACATAACAATCATACGAGTCTTTTTATAGATACAAGTGATCTCTCTATATGTAATTTTTATTTTAATCAGTTCAATAAACATACCATCTAATAAATA